GGAGACGCCCCCCGCACCCCCGCGCCCCGTTTCGCCCCGGTCCTCTTCCTCCCTTGCCCGCAAACTACTGCAACTAGTTGTCACAGGCGCTCCGTCTACCGGCCGCTTCTTACGAGGCTGGCGGTTCCCGAGCTCCTGACTGCACGGGGGGCTCGCTGACAGCTCTGCTCCGTGGGGGACACTGCCTCTCCTTTCTGCACCTGTTCGCTCCTTCAGCAGCCTCTCCGCTCAGGCTTTCCCCGGGCGGACTCTGTCAGTCCCGCCGACTAACTTTCCCCGACACATCTCGGTTACCCGTTGGCTTCGTCCTCTGTTGGGTTCTCCAGGTAATCTGGGCTACGGTGTTTCTGGCTTTTTAGTGGGTGTCTGCTAGTGTCTCTAGCTAGCGATGTTTGATGGTTTCATAGAAGGGACTCTTCTAATAGCGGCTACACATCGTCTTGTTGATGCATGTGTGTGTGTGTTGAGGAGGGGGCACCGCCACTCACTTACATTTTAGGTCTTTTGAGGGCGGTAAACTGGAGGACCGGAGAAAGTGTTTCATGGGATATTTCGTTTGTTAAAGTGGTTTCTAGTCTGAAAAATGGAGACCCACAGACTCGCTGTACTACTTAGGCCCCGGATTCCATTCCCACTTCCACAGTGCTGCCAAGAGCATCTGTCCAAAACACAGATCTGATCCTGTCATTCTTCTTAGAAATATCTCAACTCCACTGGTTACAGGCTAAAGTTCTCAGTTCTTAGCAGCGCACAGTTCCCTTTGTGAGCTAGTGTTTTTCTTATCTCCCCTGCCACCCTGCCATACTAATCTGCGGCCATGCTGAGCCACCTGCCTTTTCCAAAATGTTGTAGGCTATCCGTTCCTATGTGCATGCTGTTTCCTACCTCGAGTGTCCTTCATGCCGGTCCGCCAGTGGTACTCCTTATGTGTTGAGATGCGCTTATCACTTGCTCTAGGGACCTCATATTATCAGCTCTCTTAATTCTGTGCATATTTCTGTGGTGTTATCACCTTGTTTTGTAATCATCCGTGTATGTCTCTTTTCCCTCCCCAGGAGACAAATTGATTATATTTGTATTCTGCAGCCTAGCTTGTGGCCATAATATACAATAGGCACCTAGGAAAGATTTGTTGAATAAATGAATGACTTGATAATCCATTACTGTAATAGCTATTTGTTGACACCACATTTTGAGTTCCAGAAATGTGTATTTTTTGAGTACTTGATTTCACTAATACTTCTTTAAATGCAGAGTAACACACGTTCGTTGTTATCTTGAAAGTACGTCATCAGCAGAGTATTCTCCTGGCCTTTGCTTCTTTCCCTGACCCTTGAGTATGTTGTTACCATTATGTACAGTTCAGATTATATTTTTGCTACCAAGTGCTCTAAGTAAGGACAGATGTTCTGTACGTTTAGATACTCAAAATATCCCCTGAATACATAGTTACTTTTCTTGCTTTACACACAGACCAGAATATGTGCTGGTACTCCATGTAAGTATGTATTCCAAAGTCATCAAGGGATCATTGTAATGCTTTGGATGTGGACCTTGATGGTTAACTTTTTGGTTTCAGTGAGAATGTGATTGTTAGGTTTGTTATTCCCCATCGTGGCTTGGTGACTTTTTTTTTATTAACACGAGTTTTGGTATGCTTATTAGACATATTTTAGATTCTTTTTTCTATACTATTCTTACTGTAAAATCAAATTTTGCAATTTTGTAGTCTATCCCTCTAAATCCTTTTTGTCTTTTTGACATCGTTTATGGAGCATCACTTATGAACTAAGCTCTGTGCTAGATGTTTTGACATAAAATTACTAAGAAATAATTTCTGCTCATAAGGTGTATTCCAGGGTGTCAGAATGTCAACAAAAACGAACTGATAGGTTTTTAAAATGTGCTCAAAGCAAGCATTAGAAATTATTATTAGTTCAATTTTAGAATTTCCCTAAGGTGACAGTTTATCTGAGTGTTCGGGGCAGATGTTTCCGTGTTGTGTTGTGTTATATAGGAAACATGTGTGCATGCACTGAAAGCAGACGCCGCATCTGTCAAATTTTCAACACTTGTACTCTAACTTATTTATTGCCTGGCACAGGGAGTAAATGCAGAAGGAGTAAGGTAAAGGAGAGGTGGCTGTAGACTGTGGATTCTGGGGTAGGATGACTCCACAGAAAAGATAAGATTTGAGTTGCGAAGTATACGGTTGTATGAAGGTGTGGAGTGAGATGAAGTGTGATAAAAGGACTAGTAAAGTGACCAGCTACACGTGTAGCCAGTTCATTTGAAGAGTGTTTGAGAAAAGTGTTCAAGAGAGTGAAATCAGGTTATGAGGGACTTAAAAGCTGGACAAAAAATTAAAACGTGGTAGAAAACATCCCATACTCCTAAGTAGGGTAATAGTGTGATTAAAGTGGTATTTTAGGAAAATTGTACTGGCAGTGAAGCACAGGAGAGATGGAAGTGGGCAGAGGTTGGAACTATACTGAGAGAGTGATAGTGAGAATAGAGAAAAAGAAAAAATATGAAAAAAAAGAAAAGTGGAGGGGTGGGGGCGGAGGTGGGAGTAAAAAGTACCAGAAGGTTTTGGATTGAGGTTGCAAAGCAAATGAAGGAACTTAAGGTGATTCTATTTTTTAGACTGAAAGAGCAATAATGGCTTTAATAAGAATGGAAGAGTTGAAAAGCATCCCTGTGTTCAGTAAGAGGACAAATGAGTATTCATTTTATTTCTTTATTCTTTTTTATTACATCACAGAAGTAACTTGTAGAACAATTCAAAGACCTCAAAAGTATTTGGAGGTAAAAGCAAGTCTTCTGCTTCCCCTATACCATTCCCTTCTACTGCAGCCCCCCCCCAACTGTTGCCCTCTGGCTGTTTACCCTTCTAGACTTTTCTGTGTGTGTGCACAGTTTGGATTCTTCTTTTTCACTTTGCAGTGTGGTTTAATTTCAGACATCCTGAGTTTAAAGTGATCATAGAAGATTTCAGTAAAAAGAGTTCTTTAGGCTGCTGAAAAATCAGGAACTGGAATTTTCATAGAACTTGTTAAAGATATACAGACCTTAATTAAGTTCTGCTAAGGGTAGACATAGGAAAAACTTGCTTTTATAAAGAAAATCTCACTATATTTCACTTACCTTTTGCTATCAATCTTGTGGTGTTTTCTATTTACATTGAAAATTTGTACATGAATTACCTTTATAATCCGAAGTCTTCCTTGCAAATCATCTGGGGTTTTCAAAAAAGGTTTCATGGGGCCAGGCTAGTTGGCTCATATCTGTAGTCCCAGGGCTTTTGGGGAGGTTAAGGCAGGAGAATCGCTTGAACCCAGTAGTTCGAGGCTGCAGTGGGCTATGGTCATCGCACTGTACTCTAGCCTGGGTGACAGAACAGAGCAAAAGCCTGTCTTTAAAAAAATTAATCAATGTATTAAATGGTATGATTCACTCAACCGATATTTACTGTGTGTAGCCACTGTTTTAGGCTGCAGAGATGCATCGGTAAACAACAGGGGAAATGGAACGGAGATTGACTTAGTCAATATAGCACAGTACTTAGTTTTATCTTTTTTTTTTTTGAGTTGGAGTCTCACTCTGTCACCCAGGCTGGAGTGCAGTGACACGTTCACGGCCACCATAGACAGCCTCAACCTGCTGGATTCAGGCTATCCTTCCGTCTCAGCCTTCCAAGTAACTGGAACTACAGGCGTGCACTACCACACCCAGCTAATTTTTTTTTTGTTTATTGTAGAGATGAGGTCTCGCCAAGTTGCCCAGACTGGTCTCAAACCCCTGGACTCAGACAGTCCTCTCACTTCGGCCTCCCAAAGTGCTGGGATGACGGGCTTGAACCACCACGCCTGGCCTCACTACTTATTTAATAACTAAAAAAAAAGTCAGACCCAGTGGCTCATGCCTGTGATTCCAACCACTTGGGAGGCTGAGGTGGGAGGATCACTTGAGGCCAGGAGTTCAAGACCAGTCTAGGTGATGTAGCAAGACCTCATCTCTAAAAACAATAATAATAGCAATAGTGTTTATTGGGGCTAAGTGCAGTGTCTCCTGCCTGTAATCCCAGCACTCTGGGAGGCTGAGACAGGAGGATCGCTTGACCCAGTAGTTTGAGATCAGCCTGGGCAACATAACGAGATCTTGTCTCTACAAAAGATAGAAAAAATTAGCCAGGTATGGTGGGACACACCTGGAGCCCCAGATACTCAGGAGGCTGAGGCAGAAGGATCACCTGAGCCCAGGAGGTTGAGGCTGTGGTTATCCGTGATCATGCCACTGCACTCCAGCCTGGGCAGCAGACTGGGACCCTGACTTATAATAATAATAATAATAATAATAACAATAGTAATAATATTTGTTGGGCATATGCTTTGTGTCAGTCACTGTTCCCGATACTTTTGATCATCTGTAAAATATGATATTTGTTCTGTACCAGCTGATCATTAATTAGTATGATTGCCTGTGGTGCTCTGGTTAGCTGTCAGATCACATTTAAAATTGACTTTAAGAATCAAAACTGGACTAGATTTAAAAAGTGGTACATATACACAGTGAAATATCACTCAGCCATAAAGAAGGACAAACATATGGATTTTGCAGCAATTTGGGTGGATTTAGAGTCTATCATACTCAGTGATCTATCACAGAAACAAAGAAAAGAATACCATATGTTCTCATTCATAAGCGGCCCCTGAATGTTTACCATAATACTGCAAGAAAGGGATTGGCAGGAGTGGAATACTGCTGGCTTGGCAATGGGAACACATCAATAAGGGGACCTGATCTCAAATCAGGCAAAGTGAGGACCAAAGGAAGGCCCAGACTTGACCTGTATAATGTCCAGTTGTACACCTAATCCTGAAGTGTACCCCACATCTTTAAAATATTTTTTAAAAAGAATCAGTTTTCTGCTATTTAAATAATGTGATATTCTGCTTAAGAATCTACTAAATTCCTTCCAATAACTAAGTCTTAAATATATAATATACTTGATTCTCAGCTTTCTTAGAAATATTCATGGAACTTTCTTCAAATAATTTGATTTGCTTTTGCCTTTTTTCAGATGGCCGAACAGACCCAGTGTTGGATGATGTTGGCGAAGCCTTTCAACTTATGGGAGTTAGTCTACACGAACTGGAAGACTATATCCACAATATTGAACCTGTCACTTTCCCACATCAAATTCCATCATTTCCCGTTAGCAAGAACAATGTACTTCAGTTTCCCCAGCCTGGAAGTAAAGATGCAGAGGAAAGAAAGGAATACATTCCTGACTACATGCCACCCATCGTGTCTTCTCAAGAAGGTTTGTGTGACTGGTTTCTTCCTCATACGTCAGTGGCTATTTGAGTGGATTTTTACTCTTTTTAGCTTTGCTGTGCCAACATCTAAATTCTGGAAACACAATCGGAACATTTTAATGTTATTTACACATCATTCTAACCCTTAAACCAAGAAACATTGCTGTACAAAATATCTCTTCCTAGGCAGAACCATGGCATAAGCATGGTTGTGTCTGATGAGGCGTTTATCTCCTTTGTAAATTTTAAGTCGGAGAGAACAGAATGTGATGCCAGAGAAAAGCCTTTCAACAAATGTGTTGTGTGAGAATGGATTGTTTACTAAACTAGAAAACCTTTGAAACAAAAGAAAAAAATGGGCCGCTCTTCTCCCTCCTTCTTACTAATGTGAGTGGAGAGCCATGGCTTTGTCCTGGGGACAGTCGGTGAGGTGGGAACATTCGCTGATACTGTGCAGACTTACGTCTGTTTTTTATAATGAGAGAAGTGTTTTCTGTTTGATCTTGTAGAACTTCTGGTTATGAAGTGATCAGCTAATCAGGCACAGTGGTCAGTCCCATTGCAGAGTTGCCATTTTTCTGCATGATTTTAGATGTTGATCAGTAAGTTCACTGAAGTTCTAAAGAGCTATTTAAGCAATTTGTGTTCAGTAATATAGGCACAAAGTATTTCTTCTCATAAAAAGTGGGAAAGTTGCAATGAATTCATTTCCTTTTTAAAAAACATCCCAAACCTCCCAAACTGAAATTCTGGTTTCCATCAAACACACCTCCTCCCCATCCTCCAGGCCCTGGCAGCCACCAGTCATTTTCTGTCTCTATGAGTTCATCTACTCCAGGTACTTGTTATGAGTGGAATTGTACAGTATGTGTCTTTTTGGAACTGGTTTACTTCAGTTAGCCTTGAGAGTTTTTCCGTGTTGTAGGCTGTGCTAGGATTTCCTTTTTTAAAAGGCAGAATAATAATTTAACTACATGTATTTGCCACATTTGTTTATCCATTCGCCCGTTGATGGATATTTGGGTTGTTGCTACATTTTGGTGCTTGTGAATAATACTGTTAGGAACATTGCTGTACAAGTATCTGTTCGGGCCCTTTCTTTCAGTATATTTGGTTCTATATACAGAAGTCGAATTCTTGGATCATACAGTCATTCTATGCTTAATTTTTGAGGAACTACCATGCTGTTTTCCACAGTGGCTATACCATTTACCTTCCTGTTGGCAATGTCCTAAGGTTCCAATTTCTTGTAGTTCATTTCACATAATTACCTGTTCTACTTTAATAGCATTTTGAGGCCGGGTACAGTGGCTCACGCCCATAATCCCAGCACTTTGGGAGGCCAAGGTGAGAGGATTGCCTGAGCCCACAGGTTCGAGACCAGCCTGGTCAACTTGGCAAGACCTCATCTTTACAATAAATCAAAAATTAGCCAGAAGTGGTAGTGTATGCCTGTAGTTCCAGCTACTTGGAAGGCTGAAGCGGAAGGATCGCCTGAGCCCAGCAGGTTCAGGCTGTGGTGGCCGTGAGCATGCCACTGTACTCCAGCCTGGGCGACACAGTGAGACTCCAACTTACAAAAAAAAAAAAAACATGGTTTTTTGACATGTTACCTATTTGTTTCAGGGACTAGGTTTAAACTTAGAGTAAGTTGTTTTACAATCTATGTATGTGTCAGTTGCCTCATTTGAAAAACTGGAACAATGTTGGGCCTAAGTTGTAGAGATTTGTTGTGGATTGGTGGGTCATCATTGGACACACTGGGTCTTGGCTGTAGTGGACTGCTGAATGATACTGATAAACTGACCACTCAGAACTGAAGCTAGGTGTCTTATAATAATCTACACTCAAATATTTGGTCCTTGTGTTTTATTTTTATAGCATACAAATATTACACAATAAAATTCTCTTGCAGTGTTATGGTTATCATGTTTAAATACTGGCAAGGAAATGAAACTGAGATATCAGATTTATATTGGGTAGTGAAGGAGAATGAGAAACAATTTAGTGATTTTTAGATACCGACTTCTGGCAGAATTACTGTATTACAGTACAGTTTGGAATTTCTTTTCTGGATTATTTGAAGCAAAAGAAGAATCTTATTTCATTTAAAGTTGTATACAATATAAAGTGTAAAACATTTTAGAGGGAAAACAACATGTCTTGAGAACGCCCCTTTTCATTTGCAGCCGTCCCTTAGGGATAATCTAAGAAGGAGAATTATTGCCAGTTCATAAGATCTGTTTCATAAGGAGGCACTAGGTGACAGGCAGAACAATAAGATGCTTATCAAAACCCTTTCCACCCTTCATAGGGAAAGGATATAAAATGCAATCCTGTTGTTACCATTTTTTAATATAGCCGTACAAGTCAACTTATTATCATTTACAATCTGAAATATTTTCTTCCAGTGGGTACAGCATGTGAGAAAGTCCCTAGTGTTCTGCTTAGTGGTGCAGAGCGTGGTCCAGAGGTGAACAGCTTTGATAGTGACGCTGTTTGATGAGCTCCTTATTTTCCTTTTACTTCCTTAAGAGCCACGGACAGGCCAGACTTTGGTCATAACCTGCTATTAGCAAGGTGCTACACTGGGGCTCCCCTCTTCTCGGTCATTCACCTTGGTTCATGTCAGAAAAGCCTTTGTCCGCTCTGTGCACTGCTCTCTGGGTGCTGTGGTGAGTGCGTGGAAGAGGTGTGGGCTGTGGTAGGCGGAACATGGATTCCATGGAGGCACTCGGACATGGCCCGACGGCTTATTGCATTTCTAGTCTTCCCAAGTCACTCTGCCTTTCTGAACTGTATGTTCGTCATCTGTAAAATAGGTATAGTTTTCCCTCTTGTATCAGTGACAGGGAGGATTAAGACATTTATATGAAATAGAGCAATCCTTAACCCAACTCAGGACAGTGAATGTTAGTTCTTTTCTCATTTTTCCTTTCTTGCTCTTGGAGACTTTACTTTTGAATTGAAATACAATATACATTTATGAAGTCACTCTGTAATAAGAATAAGTGTAAAGCTGGGCATGCTCCCTTACACCTGTAGTCCCAGCTTTTCAGGAGACTGAGGCGAGAGGATTGCTTGAGCCCAGGAGTTAGAGACTGTAATGTGCCATGATTGTACCTATGACTAGCCACTGCACCGTAGCCTGGGCAGCATAGCAAGACCCCATCTCTAAGAAAAACAAAGAATAAATGTAAAACAATGTTAGCATTTCATGCTTAGGAGCTGAGGGAACAGATTTAATAGCTGGGCTGGGTAGATGCTTGACTGAAAAGCTGATTATCCACAGTGTGAAGATGATAGAAGAGGAGATGATATAGAGGAGTTCTTGCCTGCTGTATCTGATTTTATGTTTAGAAGTGAGACCTCTTTGAAAATATTTTATACATGCACATTTTTGCTTGGACTGTTACAGTTCCGATGGCTGGTACCCAGTGTGTTTTATCCAAGAACATTCTCTCCTCAGCTTGCCATACATATTTTCAGATTCACACCAATACCATATTTTTTGCTTCCTATTTTATTGTGCTGAGGAATGTCAAAAATAGTACAGTGTACTATGCCAAAGTCATTGTTTGGTTCTCAGAGTGTGGTCACAGATGACTGGTCAGTGAGGGTCATTTAGTGGTCTGCTGATTGATTCAAAATATTTGTGCAGAAAGAAAAGAGAGAAATAGAAACCATGTACAATGTTTGACTTATTGTAGGAAACTTACCAAGCTCAACTTAAACTTGGTAAAGATACTGTGATGTTGCCACTTTTAGGATTCCTAGTTTTTAAAAATTTTAAATAGGCTATTTTTTAGAACACTTTTGATTCATAGAAAAAATTGAGAAGGAAGCATGGAGAGTTCTCTTATGTTCCGTTCCATTTCCTCCGTTATTAATATTTTACGTGAGTATAGTACATTTGCTATAATTAATGAACTGATAACTGATACTGATGCACTCTTATTAACTGAAGCCCATACTTGATTTGGATTTCCTTAGCTTTTACCTAATGCCCTTTTACGGTTCCAGGGTTCCATCCAAAATACCCATTACATTTACTTGTCTTGTCTCCTTAGACTCCTCTTGGCTGTGACAGGTTTTCAGGCTTTTCTTGTTCTTGATGACCTTGACAGTTTTGAGGATTATTCATATGTTATTAGATGCCCCTCTAATGGAGTTTTTCTGATGTTTTTCTCATGATTAGACTGGGGTGATGTGTTTTGGGGGAGAAAGACCACAGAGGCGAAGTGCCGTTTTTATCCCATCACATCAAAGATGTATCCCATCCCCTTAACTTATCACTGTTGGTGTTCAGGGAGATCCCTTGGCTGAGGCCATGTGTGTTGGGTTCCTCCACTGTAAAGTTGTCCTTCCCAGCTTCCCATACTGTGCTGTTTGGAGAGAAGTCACTGCATGGTCCATGCTTAAGAAGTGGGAAGTTGTACCCCCATCTTTGAAGGTAGAATAGCCACATAAATTATTAGGAACTTTTCAGCATGGGGACTTGTCTCTTCCCCCAGAAGTTTCTATGTAATTTAGGAAGCCCTTTAAACATTTAGAAACATTCACTGGTTTGAAAAAGTGAAGTAATACCAGCTTGTTGAAAAAATATATTGCCCAAACATATGAGGTAGAAAGTGAAAGTGTCTCCTCACTTTTCTCAGACTCCCAGAATCTCCCAGCTTAGGAGGTGTGACTCCTGCCTCTGGCTGTGTTGCACTTTGAGCTCCTTTTGTCTGTATTCAGGGTCTACTTCAGGACCTGCCATTTCTTTCTCATGCTACTGCAGTATGGCTCTACTCCCATTCTTGAAGCACTTCTTGCTGAGGTCACCAGTTACTATCTAACAGGTGATCTATGGGCAACTTGGTACCTTTTTAGCCACTTCCTGGTCCAAGAAACAAAACTTTGCTAACTGTCTCAGAATCCCTGCCATGTGCCCAGCCCCAATCCTAGCTGATCCTCATTCCCTTCAGAAAGAACACAGTCCTGCCTTTATGGCTTTCTGGGC